TAATTCCCCATAGGGTAAGACAGATTTCCTTACCCAATGCAATGTGTATGTTATTCCCTCCTTAAGCCAAATCCTATGAGAATAAGATTCGCTCATTCCCTCTCACCTTCCCCCATTTCTTCTCCACTGTAAGAGCATTTTCTTTTCTGTTTATTTTTGTGAGATAATTTACCCCATTCTAGCTCTCCCTTTCTTCTTCTCTGAATATAATCCTCTCTCATCCCTTAATTTTATTCTCCAGATATGACCCCATAATCTTCAACTCACCCTATGCCCTCTATCTATCCATCTATCTATCTATCTATCTACATATCTACCTATCTACATACATACAATTTTTTTTTTCCCTCCAACTACCCTAATACTGACAAAGGTGTCATGAGTTATAAATATCATCTTTCCATGCAGGAATGTAAACAGTTCAACCTTAATAAGTCTCTTATGATTTCTCTTTCCTGTTTACCTCTTCATGTTCCACTTGAGTCTTGTATTTGAAAGTCAAATTTTCTATTCAGCTCTGGTCTTTTCATCAGGAATGCTTGAAAGTCCTCTATTTCACTGAATGACCATGTTTTCCCCTGAAGGATTATACTCAGTTTTGCTGGGTAGGTGATTCTTGGTTGTAATCCTATCTCCTTTGCCCTCCAGAATATTATATTCCATTCCCCTCAGTCCTTTAATGGAGAAGCTGCTAAATCTTGTGTTACCCTGATTGTGTTTCCACAGTACTTGAATTGTTTCCTTCTGGCAGCTTGTAATATTTTCTCCTTGACCTGGGAACTCTGGAATTTGGCTATAATATTCCTAGGAGTTTTCCTTTGGGGATCTCTTTCAGGAGGAGATCTGTGGATTCTTCCAATTTCTATTTTGCCCTCTGGTTCTAAAATATCAGGGCAGTTTTACTTGATAATTTCTTGAAAGATGATGTCTAGGCTCTTTTTTTGATTGTGGCTTTCGGATAGTCCAATAATTTTTAAATTCTCTCTCCTGGATCTATTTTCCAGGTCAGTTGTTTCTCCAATGAGATATTTCACATTGTCTTCTATTTTTTCATTCTTTTGGATTTGTATTACAGTGTCTTGATTTCTAATAAAGTAAATAACCTCCAATTGCTGTATTCTAATTTTTAAGGAAGTATTTTCTTCAGTAATCTTTTGAACTTTCTTTTCCATTTGGCCAATTTTTCTTTTTAGGGCATTCTTCTCCTCATTGGCTTTTTGGACCTCTTTTGCCATTTGGGTTAGGCTACTTTTTAAGGTGTTATTTTCTTCAGTGTATTTTTGGGTCTCCTTTAGCAAGCTTTTGACTTGTTGTTCATAATTTTCGTGCATCACTCTTATTTCTCTTCCCAGTTTTTCCTTTACTTCTCTTACTTGCTACTCAAAATCCCTTTTGAGCTCTTCCAAGACCTGGGACTGATTCATATTTTTCTTGGAGGCTTTGGATGTAGGAGCTCTGACTTTGTTGTCTTCTTCTGGTTGTATATTTTGATCTTCTTTGTCACCAATGTAAACAATATAGTTGGACTCCTTTTGTCCTTTTTGCTCATGATCCCGGCCAATTGCTTGAGTTTTAAACTCTTTTTGTTAAGGTAAGAGTCTGCTTCCAATGTGGAGAATGTACTGTCCCAAGCTTCGTGGGTTTATACAGTTGTTTTCAGAGATACTTGTAGGGACCCATAAATTTTCCAGTTCTTGCAAGGTGATATGATAAGGGGTGAGGTGTTTACTCCTTTCCTGGCCTGTGCTGTGGTCTATTAGTGACCACAAGCACTCATTTCTGTCCTGGAATTATGAGGAAGGTTTTCTGTCCACATCCACTACAAGCTCCACTGTGCCAGTGCTCCTCCTCACCCCAGGACACCCATCCAGAACTGTGACCCAGATCCAAGCACGGGAAAGCAAGAGGTTCCTGCCTCAGCACCAGCAGAGAGATCCCTGCAATTCCCCTCTGATCAGCCACTGGATTCCCCCTCAGTCTTTGGCCCGGAAGCTTGGGAAGCAGCTACCCACCCCAGTGCCATATTCTTGGGGAACTGGGTCTGAGACCCCACCTTCCTCTCTCAGCACCACAGAAACAGACTTTTCCCACTGACCTTCTAAGTTGTCTTTGGCAGTCGTGGATTGAGAAATCTGGAAACCACTACAGCTGCCAACAATTCAGTCCTCTGAGGCCTGCTCCAGGTTCGCTGAAGCCTGTGCGCCTACGCCGCCCTGCGTTCTTTTCTGATCAATCATCCAAGTTGTCTTGGGATGGAAATTTGTTTCACTCTGTCTTTTTGTGGGTTCTGTTGCCTTAGAATTTGTTTAGAGCCATTTTTATAGGTATTTGGAGGGGTTTGGGGACAGCTGAAACAAGTTGTTGCTTTCACTCTGCCATGTTGATTCTGCCCCCCCAAAAGTAATATTTATAAAGGAAAGGTCTGACCACATTACTCCCTGACTCAAAAATCTCTAATGGCTTCATATTGAGTCTAAAACAAAATGGCGGGTGACTCTTCTGTTTGACTTTGAAAGCTCTCTACAATTTGGCCGCAGTCCCAGCTTAGCAATCATCGTTCCCCTTCAAAAACTCTACATTCCAGGCAAACTGAGCTGCTCATCTGTTGGAGCAACATCTTATCTCCAGTTACCATGCCTTTGCTCACTTTGTCACCCTATTCTGGGAATGATGTTTCTCTTCTTCACTACCTCTCAGAATATGTACCTTGAGAAAGTCTGAGTGAGCATTCATGCTCAGGTCTTCCTGACTCTAAAATTCAGCCCAAGCACCACCGCCTAGACTAGATGAAGGATGTGGAAGAACAACAGTGTAGGAGCTAGGGCTGGTAGGGGCCAAGCCAACCCAACAGTAGAGAAAGCCAGAGAACCCAATGAGGGAGGGGAGGAAGGAGCTTTTCCGAAAGGCCACGTAAAAACCCCAAGATAGCAGCTTCTTGGGAACTTCTAGGATGTAGGACTTAGGCCTGGATGGGAACTTGAGGAGACAGAGAAAATGAAAGCCAGAAAGACTGACTTTCCCAAGGTCATACCTGTCATATAAAACTCAGGATTTGAATCCAGGTCTTTCAGACTCTACCACTGCAACTAAAGGGAGGCAGAGGCCACCATACCTCAGCAGCACCTAAGGTACTTTAGATATGAGTCCATCGAGGCATCAATGATCTGGGATTTCACTAAACAACATTAAATCAGATCAAAACCCACCTATCACTTAGTACCCAGGTCTTAGGGACCTGCTGAAAGGCCCATAAAGGAAGAGTGAGTTAAGCTAGGCCACATAAGTGGGAAAAACTACACTTGAACCCCAGACTCCAGAGCACATATTTTCTTGCCCTGCCTCCCACCTCATGCCAGGACTACATTGTCCTTTAGAAAAAAACTAAAATAAAACAGAACAATAGCAATGTTTGGGTTCACAAAGCTGGTCACTTGTGTGATGTCAGTAGATTTAGAAAATACCATGAATTCAAAATCCATCCCACCAAGAAAGAGTAAGATTTGTTAACCCACGATAGGGAATTAGGAAGACACTTCTGAAGTGCTAAACTGGGCTATTGGAAAGTATGTTGTGTTTGCTTTTGAAAGTAAACGCTGATTAACTCAGAGAGTATTGGTATTAATTTATTTTTGCTGTGAGCTATAATGAAGGATTAGTAGAAAAAAACCATTAGATGAGACCAGACATGCTGCATCACAGAAATAGACAGGTTTTGAGAAGCCCCACAATTTTAATGAGTCAAAAAGGGCCCACCATGAGAGATGGTGTTTTAGGAGGCCTGTTGGCCAGTCCTGGCTTTGTCACTTCACTCATCATTGGAACACTGACTGAATGTCTCCAATTCTTAGTCAATGTAGTTGTCTCAAAATACAAAGTGCTGTCTTTTAGGAATAGGATCTCCTCTCACTGGGGCTCAGTTTCCTTATCTGTAAAATGGGGAGGTTTGACTGGATTACCTCTAATTTCTCTTCCAACTGTAACTGCATGATCCTTTGATTCTCTCATCTCAAAGGTCCCTTTGAGCTGAAACATCCTAGGGTTACGATTCCAGAACTGGATAATTATTGATTAAGAGATGTGATTTTTTTTTTAAATACATGGTTGTGCTCTTCAGGAATTCTGCTTAGGATATCATTGGATCAAGGGCTCAGAGCTAAGAAAAACCTCAAAGGCCATCTGGTGCAGCTCTGTCCTTTTATAGATGAGTTAACTGAGGCCTGGAGCGGTTGAGCAGTGTCCAAGGCGTCACAGGTACTATGTGGTATGGGTATCGTTAAAAACCAGGGCTCTACCTCCAGAACCAATATTCTTTTCACTGTATACTAGCTGTCTTTTCATTACAGGTCCCCCTGTACCACTTTGTTTCTGAGATTAACAATGATTTCTATGTGCATAATTCTTAAAGAATTACAAAGAGACTTAGATACATAATTTAATTTGATCCCTATAACTTCTTTGCAAGGTAGATGAAGCAAGTATTTGTTATCCCCATTATACAGATGAAGAAAGTGAGGCTCAGAAAGATTAATTACCTTGTCTATGGTCATACAGCTAGCAAGTGATGGAGATCAGAGAAGAACCCAGGAATCTCTTAATTGCATTTTTTAAAAATTCTTTCCACACAAACACCCAATGGAGCTAAGAGGAGGACAATGTTTCCCTGAACAAGTTAGTCAGCTAGCATTTTTAAAGGGCTTGCTATGAACCACAGACTGAGCCCTGCAGAGCATGAGTAAAATAGGATAGTGAGGAAAGAGATGATCAGGTCTTTTTGTATAAAGGCCATGTTGGGTCTCGGGAGGAATGAGGAGGTTGGAGGCTTTTCAGCCCTGCCTTGTCATTGTGGGCTGAAGACACACCTTGTTGATACATAAAACCAAGCACAGTCATGTCCTGGCACAAGCAGAGTTTCAATAAGTCAATGAATAGTGAGAGAATGAGGCACTGACCCTCCCTTTAGGATGGGGGTCACCAGACAGGGAAGGGGTCCAAACACTTACTATGTAGCAGGGCTCACAATACGCCTTCTTCTCAACAGCGTAGAAGGGCTGCCCACGGAGCTTGGTGCTGCAGATGATACAGGTGAAGCAGTCCACATGAAAGACTTGGTCCATGGCAGTACAGCCCGTGCCTTCACCAACAACATTCTCACCACAGCGGGCACAGCGGCCTGAAAAACACCAGGGTGGGGAAAATCACATTAGAAAGAGACATTAGGAAATGTCGAGGGCTTAGGACCATTGGTAGGTGGAGGCAGGAGAAGGTCTTCACGTTGAAGAGAGGAGGTACAAACACAATACTTTTCACAGAACACTTTAATGGAGTAACTAGATTCTAATACTTAAAGTCAGCCTGGAACAAGCACACACTCAGGGGACCTGGGATTCAAACCTGGATCTGCCATTGAGTCACTACCTATGTGGCCTTCTGCAACACAATACCCATGCTCAATGGCCACAAAAAGCTCTAAGACATTCGGAGGAGGCAGTATTTCTCATGAGCAGATGGAGCTTTCATAGGTACAAGAATCCAAGTGGTCTGGGGTGAGAACAATAAGGGATGACCATCCTACTCAGAAGCCTTGCCCTGGCATGAAGCTCAAATTCAGGAATAAAAGTAGGAGAGATGAATAAATCAATGATGGCACAAATCAGGGTATAGAGATGGTCAAAAATCCAGGTAGAAGACAAGGTAGCTAAATAACAACTATAAACCAAGACTCAAAGGGAAATTTCTTCCCTCCCCTCCCCCTAAAGTCTAAATGAATACCTGGAAGAAATGAAAGAATTGATTAAAAAGCATGAAATGAAAGATCTTCCGGGGGTGGATGGAGGAAGAAATAGCTTAGAAAAGAAATTATTAAACTTCACTGAAGAAAGTAAATCCCAGAAAATGGGAACAAACAGAAACAAATGACTATGAGACAAAACATTTTTGAACCAAATTAAAAGTTTGGAAACTAGAAGAAAAATTTTAAAATGTGATATTTCAAAATATTAACTTGAAAAACCATTCAGTTTAAGAATATCAGCCTCCCTTAAAACTATAATTAAAACCAAAAAAGTCTCAGATATTATATTTAAATAAATCATAAATGAAAACCGTCCACCTCCATGAAAGTCAGAGGGCAAAGTGAAGACAGAAAGAACCCAAACATTTTCTAAAAGAAAAATACAAAAAAGTTTCAAGAATGTTGCAGATATGTGTCTACATCAAAGAGAAGAAAAAAAAACTCTAGGAGCATCATGAAAGGAGTTCAAATACCAAGGAACCATCATCGGGGTCATACAAGACCTGGCATCTTCTTCCAAACATGGGAGGAGAGTTAGGACTATAAATTTCCAACGTCAAAGATATAGGTTTTTGGACAAAAATACCCAACTTATAAAGCTGAGCATAATTCTACAGAGGAAAAAGATGATTTTTTAACAGATTAAAGGACTGTGAAGCATTTTTGATGAAGGTCTAGAGTATATTAGGGGCAAGTTTGGAGTCAGTGGGATGAGGCAGCTGTATAACATAATGGATAGAGAACAAGACACTTAGTCAAGAAGACCTGAGTTCAAATCTAGCTTCAGATACCTACTAAGTGTAAGACTCAAATCTCTATTTGCCTCAGTTTCCTCATCTGTCAAATGAGGATAATAATAATATTAATAACAACTTCTTGGGGTTATTGTGAGGATACAATGAGATAATATTTGTAAAATGCTCTGTCAACCCTCAGGGCTTTAAGAGAGGAAAGAGAGGGCATTTTTTAAAATGCTTTTAGGAATCACAGACAAGCTGGCCAGTTTAGAAAATAAAATTAAGAAAGCATTTTATATATTTTTAAGAAGAAATCAGTATGACATGGAGATTCATATTTTCACAAACAACTATGTTTAAGGGTTTGGCTATCTATATGGAAATACTCATTTGTGTGTGTTTAAGTTCAGACTTGATAAAAAATTAAAATGTAGAGGAAAAAAGGTGGAAAAAAGTCAATTAACCTCCCTGGGCCTTAGTTTCCCTTATACTGCTTAAGGTCTATTTCTCTTCCCTGTAGGACTGTACTGGGCTTTTCATGTTAGGTTAGTCTTTGCCGTAACATCTCTTGCCCTTTTGGAAATATAATGTCTGATCTCTTTTCTCATTTGAAGTGATGACATTTGGCCGGATGACCTCCAAGACCAAGACCCCAATATCCTACATTGTTTGTTCCACAGAATAAAACCTGAGCACTTGGGCTTATGGATTGGGGGATGGGGGAGGGGAAGGTATTGGGGAAACCTGGTTCATATTCAGTTTTTGTAGTGCAGGACAGTCTGAGAATATTGGTGCTAAGACTCAGTGATCCAGCAGGACTGCACTGGGGGTAACCCATTCTTTCCTGTGGGTACCCAACTCCTTCCTTACCCTCTGAAGATGATTTCTCCCAAAGGAGTTCACCTCAGTGTAGATCTGTGGAAACGCAAGCTTTGGAGTCACAGGACCTCAATTTAAATACTGGCTCTGGAATTTACTAACTAATCAGGAAAGTCACTGATCACCCCTGGGCCTCAGTTTCCTCATCTTTAAAAAAAAAAAAAAGAACGTTGTACTGGATGACTATAAGGTTCCTTGCTCATCTAGCCTGATTGTCTTAAGTCAGTGGTGAAATGGGGTGTGGCTCAGGTGTGAAGAGGTCCAAACCCTTCCCGTTTGGGGACAGAGGGAGGGCATGGACCTCTGGGGTAGTCAGTCTGGCACCTGTGCTAGTGCTGGATTCACAAGAACAGAGGCAAGGCGAAAAACATAAATAAAAATAACCCCACGCATCAGCAGAAAAGAAAAGCACCCTGGATGATCCATTTTATCAGGAAGACAAATTAGAACCATGCCTTTTGGAGAGCCTCTTGGAAAAAGACAGGAGAATTCACAATGGCCGGGCACAGCCATCCTCCCCCTCGAGGCCAGCTTCAGTTACACCCCATTAACAACACTCCACCATCTCATCCCTGCACAGTTGTGAGACAAGAATCTCAACAGCCCCCAGCTATGAAAACTAAGGACTCACAGCGCAGGATGGTAGAAGAGCGTATGGGGAAGATGATTGACTTTAGAGGCTCCCAAGAAACTTCAGCTCTGGCTAAGTGCTGTCATGAGAGACTTGTTAGTGGGGAAGACTGGAGAGCCAGCTAGCTGCGGACATTGGAACTCATGGGTCCATGGATACAGGAAGGATATAGAATGCAGTGAATGAGGCTCAAAGAACCAATCAATGTCCTCAGCTGCTGGGCCCAGAAACTCGGAATGGCAGAGTGGAATGCAGCCCTTTTAATAAATATTGCCTCATGGCATCTAAACTGGAACATGTATCAACTGCTGGCACAACTTCCCTTTTTTCTACTGGAATAGAGGAGGGGCCCCATAAAGCTCGACTGCACCAGCGCAGAGAGGGAAGGACATTTTCCATTCCATTATGAGTCCCCAGCATCCACAGCTTTGTGGTTCGAGGCCAGGCCGCAGGAGGCTTGTCTACACTCTAACTCCTCAACCCATGCTGCTCTTGGAGTCTGAAAGCACCGATGCCAACTCTGAGCACCTGGGACAGGAAGACTCAAGATTCTGTCTACTCACATCTAGCACCACATAGGCTATTCATTACGGCTTCTTTTCAGCATTCAGGAGAGATAGAAAGATTGTATATCTTGAGGCCAAGCCCAGGCAGAAAGGATGTTTCTGGGCAAGCAAGGCTTCTCCCATCAGGGCTAGGCTTCAGCTTACTACCGCTTCCAGGTATTCACTGTGTTTTGGTGGAACTGTCTTGAAAACATTCTGTACAGTTCTCTAATGTGTTCAGAAGAAAACTCTGAGCACAGCACTGCCTTCTATCTGTGACTTCGGGGTGCAGTTCTGGGAATCTGGTGCTGTGACATGCCGAAGGTAGAACCATCCACCGGGATGTCATGGTCTGGCACACAGGACAGAGTAAGTGAGGACTCTGGTAGGGACCCTGGGACCTGCTTTCTTGGAAGCGATGGCTCTAAAGAGCAATGTTGCTTTTGTTGTTTGTTTGTTTTTCCAGCGATGGAGTGAAATATTTGTGACAGTATGATGTGGATTTATCTGAACAGAGTTGCTGGTCTGCCAAGTGGAAGGCCCTTGGGGGCACGGATGGAGGTTTTGGCCTTAGCACCCAGTCCCCTACCTGCAGGATCCAGCATATAATAAAAATATGCGAAACAGGACTGGAAACAAGTTAAAAAAGTCAAGTAAACCACACTCCTCCCAGCAGTTTTGTCACCCTCTGAAAAATATCAAAGCCACCCTCAATCAGTGAGTTTATTAAACACGTGTCATGTGCCAGGCATGGTGCTGACCTCTGGGCATGCCAAGACAAAATCATCCCTTCCAATAACGCACTTATGTACTTCTGGGAGAACCTATGCAGATGTATAAGAAAGGACCAACTATCTGCAAAGCAGAAACAACATCACTGATGGGGGGCAAGGCACTGCATGCTGTCATCTTCAGAAGAGGCCTTCTTCTTTAATTGATCAGTACTTCTTCAAACATTACTTCTGCATTCCTCATCACAAGGCCAGCCACGTCCTTTTTGCCTCAAACCTAACTTTTCTATTTCACTTGAAAAAAGTTTATTAAAGGGGCTAGAATAGTGGTGTGTGCATGTAGACATCAGCCCACAAAACCTCCCGGCTGGCCCTGAAGGGCAGACCATGATTTAGCCTCACAGCCCATTTGGCCATCCATCCAATCCTCACCTTCTTCACCTCCACTGACTTCCCCAGGACCAAACAGCCCTTGCTGCACATCACTCATCTGTGTTGTCTGACCAAATGAGAATGCGACTCCTTACGAGCTGGCCTTATGCCTCTCTGTAAATCTCCAGTGCAGTGGCTGACACGAGGAAGCCCTTCATAAATGTTGCTCTTGTCATTCAATTAGTCAATCATTCATTCCTTCACCTTTTCAATCATCTGAATGGCTTAAGGATGGGTTGGAGAGGGCTAGATACAAGTTGTATGACTCTGAATCTCTGTCATCCACCACCTGTGTAGATCTGGTTAAGTCATCTGACTTTCTCAGGGCCTCAGTTATTGTTATTGAGTCATTTCTGACTCTTTGTGACTCCATTTGGGGTTTTCTTGGCAGAGATACTGGAGTGGCTTGCAATTGCCTCCTCCA